TCTGTTGTTACTTTTATTCTTTTCGGTATCCTATTGTTGTGTTCGTCTTACCTTCCTTTCATCTTGTGTGCAGTACTTCACATCTTTCTCGCCTAATGAGCCTTATTGTATCCCCAAAATATCACTACATTATTCTACTCCTAAACTTTTAAAACATGGGTTATGTACAGGTTGGGTAATCCACTTGTGCCATTTCCCAGCAATTTTGATCCATATGATGTATGTTAAGCAAGCTTGTATCAACATGGTTATTGCACATGGTGTGTTTATCCATACCTCTGCACATGTGCATCTATCTGCATTTTACTTCTCAAATACAAGTCCTCTTTTGAATTTTAATCTTGAGTACCTTTCCTGTTGCCCACACATATTGAGCTTGTGCCATCTGTAGTTTTCTTCCTTGGACACTTTTGGGAAATGTATTTCAGCCATTTTCATGCAAAAAGTGTCTGTCTTGAAAAATCTGTTAATGCTGCAGTTCTCATCAATGAAATGTACAAGATTTTCGCAGAGGAAGATTTTTCTCCTGTAATTTTTGGTGAATTTACTATCAACGACTGAATCAAGTCTTTCCAGTGAAAAAGAGACAATGTTATTTCTTTCTCTTTGTTTCAAATATTGCTCATAATACTGAGTGTTCATTTATGTTGAGCTGTCTGGCTACATTTTATTCCTGGTAAGCTCAGTGAGTGGTCAAACAAATATTTAAAAAAACCCTAAACACGGAAAAAGAAAAGCCAATAGCAAACAACCCAGAAAAAAACGCTCATGATTTGAGTCTTTTTTTAGAGTTTAGGAATGAAAGAGAAACCACTTAGTCATCTTTTGGGTTCTTTTAATGTCATACTTCTCGTATTCTGAACTTTGAAAGTATAGAATAAGTTTTTCTATTAATGTTAAGATTAGTTGTTGAGCTGCCTAAGTTGCATTTTCCAAATGCAGTTTCTTAATGTTTCAGGTTGGCTCCTTCCAGCTGTTTGTTGAAGGATATAAGGAAGCTGACTACTGGCTCAGGAAGTTTGAAACTGATCCTTTACCTGAGAACACAAGGAAAGAATTTCAGTCACAGTTTGAAAGATTGGTTATCTTGGATTATGTAATCAGAAATACAGGTATTTGTTAGTGTCTCTCGGTTTCTATCCACTTTGAAGCAGAAATCATAATCCGTGCTGGCGGAAAGCTGCTACTGAAAGCGTTTTATGCATTTCGGATGCCTTTCTCACAATTGAAGACTGGAATGTTGCATTTTTAAAGTTTAAAAAATTTACTTTGGATTCAAACACTAAATATTGCAATGTAACAAAATCCAAAAAACCCTTTTTGGCTCTTACTTGATATTTTCAAGCAATATAAGAATTCAAGAACAAATACTTTCATTATGCTTTAATTCTGTCAGTAGGCTATTAACTGTCTGTTTCCCCTGGTTAGGACAAGGAATGGTGGGGTTTCAGAAAGAATAAGAAAAGCCATCACTACCACTCCTTTTATGTTAAGCCGGAGCGGACAACAGCATAGTTTCCTGTCAGTGCAAAATAGTTCATGTTCATTGTGACTAGGCACTGAAGTACAGTGGTGATGTGTATCTCTCGGTTTTCCTGCATTCTTGTTTCTTTCACTCAGAAGCTGGGATTCTTCTGTTTTGACTATGTAGGTGATTTATTTCCTCAAGAATCCAAAGGCAGTTCTATATTTAAAATGCTTCCTTTTCTGCTTTGTCGGAAGTGGGCATTTTTACTCTTTTTCAGACATACCAGCTGTAGTTCATTTTCCTTTTCTTAATTTATTAGAAAAGAATCTAGCTCAAAATAGGTCACTGTAACCTGTGGCTTTTTAGAAACAAACTAAAAGAAGAAAGTTTCATAAGAACATAATACTTTCCAGCCAGTAACATAGCATGTTCTGTCAGCTTTATCAAATAGAAACCAGTGTTTCCAAACAGTTGCCACGTCCTGTGATGATCTTAAAATTGAAGAAAAATATTCAAAAGGCAAAACCTCATTATGTGAATGATTTTACCTTCACCTAATATATCTAATCATGACAGAACATGAAAATGTTCTGATGGATGTTTAACTAAACTTAAGGGAGCATCTTGATATGACAGAAGGACCTACAAATCCATGCAGTCATCCTCTGTCTGAAAGAACTTGTCAAAGCCTTCAATGTCTCAATTTTGTCTGAATGGTGCAGACATTGTCAGTTTCTGAAAGGCTCTTCAGTTGTGTGTCCCCTCCATCTTTGAAGAGTCTATTTTCTCCATGTAGTCAAACATCAAATTACCTATAATTTTGGAGGGCCTCTCCCTTTCCTCATCAGCATTAAAACAGCTTAAAAATTAAGTCAGCTGCTGTTGACAGTCTTTTCCCCAGGAGAAGTGCACACTACTGCCAATCTTTCTGCATAAAATGGATAAAAATAGTTTCTCTTTTTTGGTATTTTGCTGTGTATTCAGCCAGTTGGGGAAACTAAAGCAGTAATACATACCTGAGAACACTTGGTAAATTTTTGGTCTTTCCATTAAATCAGTTGCCTCAAATATTTCAGTAAAAATAAAACACATGTATTGTGATAGAAAAACTGTTTAGAATAGTTTTGCCTGACTCCTTCCATAAATTCTCAATTTACAGTATTCGTCATTGTATATCACTTTAGATGATGATTTCTTTATAAATGATGTGTTGTGACATGCATTTTCCTGTTTAAAGACAGAGGTAACGATAACTGGTTAGTCAGGTATGAAAAACAAGATGATGGACGTGATCTGTCAGATAAGGTAAGAAAATTGTACTCTGAAACTTACGTTCTTTAAATTGTTTAGTTTTATAATTTGGTCTTGCAGGGGATTAAGTGCACGGCTTTAATCCTGGTGCATGGTCTCAAGAAATGTGAAAACTGCAAATTATTTGAGGTGAAAGGAATGGAAAAGCTATTTGGATTAGACTAGTCTGGATAGAACAGTGCTAGAAGTTATTTTTATTGTTCTATATTTTTTCTTTACTAGCTTGGGCTATAATAATAATAATAAAACTGCCCACTGTTGCTCAAGCACATTTCTTCAGCTATTTATGTGCTCTGCTTATCTTGTATTTGGAGGAAGGGCTCCCTTTTAACGGTGGTAGAGTAAGAATTATATGTGCTGGCATTCATTTGGATACTCCTTTATATTATTTAAGTTGATTTTAAGCAGTGAAGCTAAAAAGTGTATTACTTAATATTTTTAATGTGTTTCACTATTTTTGCAAGCACATATATATCACTTATTTTTGAAATATTCCTTCCGTAGGATAGTCAGTGGACTATAACTAAAGAATCTACTATTAAGATTGCTGCAATTGACAATGGTTTAGCATTTCCTTTTAAGCATCCTGATGAGTGGAGGGCATGTAAGTATTGCGCTTTCAATCATCTTCCTTTTGGGAGAATAACTTCTAAATAAGTTTTTTTTTTTATTTGGGTTGTTGTAGTAAGAAACTAAGAAATCATCACTGTAGGTATGTTTTGAATTGTTAAATAACGTACTCTTCAGAAAGTTTTGCAATGGCATATGTGATTTAAGTCCTTTTTCATATTTTTTTACCCTTATACCTTTAAGTGGTATTAATACATGGATATTCATAAACATACTACTGTATGTAAACTGACTGATGGTGGAATTGGAAAAATACAGCAGCATACTTCTTGTGTGTTTTCTTGAAAACCATGGTGGAAAATCACCCGGGTGCAAGGAAGGATATGCAAGTTGTCTCTCTAATGACCAAATTTCTATTTCAAAACAAAGGGTGCTGTTGTAGGGAACAAGCAGACAAGTTACATGTTATTTTTACTTGTTCTCAGCTCTAGCTTACTTTATAGAAGTTAATCTTTAGTTAGTATTTTCAAGTAGACTGAAAATTGATATTACTGTTAAAGCTAGATTGCTTCTGACCCCATCTCTGATTACTTATAGTTTAGAGGGAAGTGCCCAACAGGGTTTACAGTTATTTCTGTGGGCTATTAGCCAATCAGGTAATTATGGCAGTTAAGTGTGAGCTAGTTTTGCTGTCAAAAGCCTACCTCACTATCTCAGCCAGAACTCTGTATAGTCTTTCTGTGTCTTGATACTCAATATTTACTCTCCTATGTGTCTCTTGGCTATAGTCACTTCTTCAGCTGTTCATAGAGACATAGCAGTTATCGCTTGTTTTATACCTTCTTTTACTTCAGCATCAAAAGTAATAATAAACTTGGATGATCCTTTAGAATTCTTTTGCAGTTGGACAAACATGTGACAATGCTGTAAAGGTAAACTTGTAGCATAATGCTGTTTAAAATTACAGGCTCTTGAAGGGTAGAGATGTGTTCTTGATGACTAGAGCTGGTTGATTGTCAAAGATAACTTCCTCAAAGCCAGAGAACAGCCTATGCAAAAGGCAGGAAGTTGGTCCAGCATGGATGAACTGGGATACAAAAATTATACATAAAAAAATGGACGTAGAGACTTCCCTGGAAAAATAGAGACTTTGTCCAAAAGTGCAAGAATGGAGTCGGGGAAGTCAAAGCTCAGCTGGAGTAAAGCTAGCATAGGACATGAAGGGCAACAAGAAAGGCTTAAGTAAATTAGAAGGGAGAGTGGGCCTGAAGAAAAGTGCCGCAAGGACCTAAAGACAAAAGGCATAAGAAAGAAGTTACTCATTGCTGACTTTGTCTCAGTTTTCAGTTGTAAGATTTGCTCTTAGGTCTCAGAGCTCATAAGCAGAGCCTCTGGGAATGAATCACTACCCAAAGCAGAAGAGAGGGAGCACATAAGCAAAACAGTCATGCAGAAGTTCACAGGAGTAGATGGGATGCATTGGAAATGTGGTGGGAGCTGGCTGAAGTCATTGTGAGGCTGTTTTCTCATGACTTTGGAAAGACTGTAGTAATGTGTGAGGTTGCTGATGACTAAGAGAAGGTAAGTATCACATGCATCTTCAAGATGCAGGCTACGCAGAGTGATGGGGTAGCCAGCCTAACCTCAGTCCCCATGAAGATTGTGGAATGAGTCCTCCTGGAAGCAATGTTCCAGCACATGAAGAACAAGAAGGTGGTGGAGAAACCAGCACGGATTTACCAAGGACAAACTGTGCTTGACTGACTAGGCAGCTTCTAATGACAAGATGACTGGTTCAGTAGGTGAGGGGAGAGCAGTGAATACTGATTTTCCCTTTACTTTTGCGAAGCATTCTGTGTGGTCTCATTGTATTCTAGACAACTGAGATATGAACTGGACAAACAGACTCTGAGGTGGGTGGAAAACTGGCTGTACTGTCAGACTCAAAGGGCTGTGAGCAGTGTTAAAGTTCAATGGGTAACCTGCTACTGGTGATGTTCCTCATCTGCAACTGATACTGTTTGGTGTCTCGTTTAACATCTGGTAATATTAATTAATCTTACAATATCTCTTGAAAATCTGTTTAATAGTAATTGTGTGAATTTTTTTTTTCTCAGCATGCTTAGAAGGCAGCATTTTAATAAGTAAAATTTTTGTCAAAAAATAGTAGCTACTTTTTTGTTAATTCTTCATTGTGAGTCAAACATCTCAAGATTTTTATTTGATTGTAGCCATTCTTTTACTCCAAAGGAAACTGCATTACTAAACTAGGAGAAGGCCTCAACTATTGCTTACAGTATTTATGTACCTTTTCTACTTACTACTTCAACTAAATATTTATTACTTAAAATATATTTTCACTGTTTGGAAAAAAGGCTAAGTAGCTGTAAAGCTGCTTTTTCTAACTGTAGCCAAAAGAGGTATATGGGATAACAATGTTGTGGAAAATGGTGTGTTACTGAGAACTTCCAGTAGGCAGCAGAGTGCTGTATCAGTGGTAAGTGCTTGAGAATTTCATTTTTGCCTGTTGTTAATCAGTAAATGTACTGTTTTCCTGCATTAGATCCCTTTCACTGGGCTTGGCTGTCTCAAGCAAAAGTTCCTTTCTCTCAGGAGACCAGAGATTTAGTTCTTCCTCGCATTTCTGATATGAACTTCGTGCAGGATCTTTGTGAAGATCTTTATGAACTATTTAAGGTGAATCGAGTGCTTCTTTGAATTGAACATTACTATGTAGCTAATACCTGTAATGGAACAGTTAGATGGTTTTTGTTTTTGTGAATTTATCATGATACTGTGCTATTTTTAGCTTTAGCACTGGTATGATAGAAAGGGATTATATAACCAAGAGGAAACTGTCACTAATGTGGCTAATTGATAATACTTGGCTCATCTGAAAATGTAATTACCTTTTATAAATCTGTTTCACATGATCAATTAAAACTAGCTAACTTTTATAGCACAAATCTGTGTGAAAACTCCATTTAACATACCTGTATGGTGTGTATACACTTAAGATAAACTGTAGCAACCCGAGGAAATCATGTATTTAATGTAACTTAAAGTACCTGCATACCTTTCATATACTTAATTTTACATACATATATTGTGTGATGTTGATGCTGAAATCTTGACCATGTTTAAAGTCAGTTGAATTTATTTTTAAAGGCACTGAGACTGTGCTACAATATTGACATGTGAAGGAGTGTCCTTCTCTGAAACATGCCATAAACAATTGTCAGATGTTCATGTGAAATAATCCAAACGATTAGGATGGAAAGAAATGGAATTTTTAAACTTCTAATGAGAATTCAGCTGTAATGTCAAAACTATATCCTGAAACATATTTACAATATTTGCATCTGACTCAGTTGTATTCAGAGTGACTCTGGGTTGACTGCTAAACCCAGCTGAAGTATTTAATAAATCTGAAGGAGGAAGTATTCTTTTGCCAGAGTAAAGTTGAGAGACGGAGGTGATGTAACACCATCACGTGATGGTATTAAGCCCACCTACCAATGCCCTGAAGTGGTATCCACTGGTGTATTTTACTTTTACAATGTGGAACTTCCTTCGTTTACAGATATGTAAACTTGCTGCAATAAATAGACCTTTTTGTGGGACAAACGATGACTATTTGCAGCTTCCAAAATTTATTGTGATGTTGGTAAATATGACTATGCGTATTATGAAATGGATGAATTCACATGCCAGATATATACCTAAAAATAAAATGGTAATTTCCTATAATAATTGTTTGTTTTCTTTAATAAAGACTGATAAAGGATTTGACAAGGCTACTTTTGAAAACCAAATGTCCGTTATGAGGGGGCAGGTAAGACTACTTTTTTACATTTTTATTTATGTATTTAATTTGTCATCACTTCTCAGCTGTTTTTTTTTAGAGCTACAAAAACTGATTCCTATTGAATTGAAAGACACTTGAAGGTGTTTTCATCTGAGAAGACTACATGTCTTTCTAGATGTTGTTCTTATTTGCATGTTGATGAGGCAGCAGAAAGTGTACACTGATTATTTATTTTTATTTTTACAGAAGATTATTTTCTTAAATAATTGGGTTGCATTGTTTTTGTGGGGGATAGGGTAGGACTTAATACCTGTATATTCTTAGAAGGTATTTTAAAAATGAAACACTGGAGAAGAGCCATAAATGTGGATGGGAAATTTAGTGTGCAATTTTGTTATATTAATAAAATAAATGCAACTTTCTTTTGGAGTGTTAACTGGATGATTGAAATACCTATAACAAGAAAGCGATATTGGGTAATAAAATTTCTTCATTCTAGCAAATGTCAGAACCATACTTGGAACTAATGCAGGCATTTTCAGATTACAAATATGAAGATAATTAAGTGGTGTCTTTTTTTAACACTGAAACAGGAGAGGAGAAGGGTTTCTCCATCTTCTTGCCGTTTCAAAATTTAAGACTGGTATGATATACTGGAAAACAAGCTTTAGCTGAGAACAAATTATTTAGTTCATTGTAGGCCTAAAACAGTGATTTGTGAAAATGTAAGGGAATTGGACTAGATAAATTAAGAGTCTCATTTGCCCTGAATTTATTGAAATTGACTTATAAATTCAACACGGATAGTTTAAAGCTGGACACTCACAATTCCTGGAGTGGCTGAATCTGACCTTTCTCTATAGAGTTTCCTGTATCAAGAAGTACCACGTACAAGATTGCAGCTCTGCTTAGTCAAACATAATCCTGGTTAATATTAGTTATGTGTGGTGACTAAAAGCCAGCAAACCTTACTTATTAAATTGAATTATAGGAGTTATTTGTGAAATCACTTTTCTGAGAAGTTTGTGCAGTCACTGGAAGGTCAATTCTGCAGTGTTCATCCATCTTAAACTGTGTTAAGTAGCTTTTTTGTGATGAGACATTTGGCTACAGGGAATCTGTTATTTAACAAAAGGCTTAAGGAGAAATTGTTTTTTTTTTGATCTATAATGGAGAAAGATCTAGTGAAGATTGTCTAAATTAATTCCCCACCATAAAGGCTGCATCTGGACCCTTTCTTTGCTCCCTTTCCCTGAGGTGGATCTCAGCAGAGATTTGGTGATGTGTTTTCGGGGTTTTTTTTTTAGTCTCCCTTTAGCTATACAAGAATGTGTCTCACTGTGGGAGATGCCAGGTTTTCAGGCATGGATTTAGGCAGATAATCAGTTATTCTTGGATGTAATTGCAAATACATCTTGCAGCACATTTGCTATGATGCCTTTTAGCACTGATTTTTAAACTTGCTTTTGGTGTAAAACCAAAGTATATTACAAGGGCATTATAGAAGAGTTGGATATCTAGATCATGTGATAACGGATTCATTCAGTTAAGATGAATTTGCAGGATAGCCAAAAGGTCTGTAAGTATATCCTTAAAAATGAAAACTTTTAAGAATTAGGAAAGGAAGAATCTAGTTGGTAAGGATAAGGAGGCTGAAGAGAAATATATCTTGTATGTAAGGGGCAAGAGCTTTAAGGTACCCAAAGTACCTTAGAAGCATGTTTTTGTGAAGCAGGGGGGAAAATATTGAGAAGGCTTCAAACCCAAGAAAAACAGTTCTGTCAAGAATATAGACACTAAGCAACCAGGTAATGCACATCTACAAAGGACTGCCTTAGAACTTAGAAAATGTAAATGTCAGGTGGAGTTGCCGGAAGAGCCAAATTCTGGTAAACCGCGCAAAAGACTATCTGTCAGGCTTCTTCAGCCATGAAAGTGCAGAATGAGCAGGGGATCAGTAAGTCACATAAGGAAGAAAAGGGCATTGTGCAGGAGGAATAAAACAGGCTTGATATTAAGGGTAATAATGCAAGCGTGTCACCAGAACTAAATTGAATACTTGCCTCAGTTTTTGTCAGGGTAACATTGAACCTGGAGTAAATTATCAGGGCAGTTTGAGTGCTGATGTTTTGGAAGGAAGATAACAGACTCCTGGGAGCTGAGGGCTGAATATGAATCTTAGCACTGGGTTTGGCATGGGCTAATAATATGGCTTCATGTCTTCTGATATGAAAATAACTTGTAGCTCAATTCCTGGTAGATCCTATGTCAAATACATGTTGATTGCTTTCTTGTATGTTTTTTTCATTAAAGGTGCAGTGCTCTTGAGATGTGCTAAATTTAAAATGCTCTTAGATTTTTGTCTCTAAGACTTTCCAAAACTTCAGAGATGATTGCATGAAATATTCAAGAAAAGAGTAGAAGGATAGTCAGCAGTAAGATGTCATAATGTTACCAGATAATCTATTTCAAGTTGAAATATTTTATTTATCTTTTAAAAATAATTTATTTGACAGTGCAGTCCTCTACAGAATTGATTTAAGAGTGGCATCTAAATTTACAAGCCTGCTAGCCAGTTTTACTTGTGTGCCCTCACCTTACCTGCTTTTACTGTTTTAGATACTAAACCTTACTCAGGCATTAAAGGATGAAAAAAGTCCCATTCAGCTTGTTCAGATGCCCCGTGTGATTGTGGAGCGAAGCAGCACTGGAAGTCAGGGCCGGATTGTTCATCTGAGTAATGCGTTCACACAGACCTTTCACAGCAGGAAGCCTTTCTTTTCCTCCTGGTAGCAACAAAAATACATGGGAAGAGTTAAGTTTCTCTTAACTTTAGAAAGCTACTTCTGTGTAAAGGCTCTGCAATAACATATTTCTGCTGTATAGCAAGAGCTCTGACTGCCGACACCTCAGAACTTCTAAATTCTAAAGACTTAAGAAATGTATTTTGAATGTAATAAAAGTTTACAATTTTTGTCTCAAAATTGTGAATTCTTATGTCAGGGAATGAGAAGAACTTGTCCATATTGTATTTTTATAGGCTAAATTACTGTATTCTGAATAAGGGAAGATACACAGTTTGCATATGCTAAGAAACTACTTTTGAATACAACAGGATTTCTTTTTGTTTGATATAAATGTAAGAACCTATATGCTATCAATTTCTTTTTATATGGTCTTTAAAAAAAAGTGCAGAATGTTATCACTGATTGTAAAAATGCTTTTCCTTGGAATTTCTTTCTGATACTTTAAGCTGTTGATAGATTTTTCATAAGCCAGTTACTTGAAAAGTCAGGCACTAAAAAAAAATAATAATAATAAAAAAATCATTCTGTCCTTGACAAACAAGTGAAAGAAAGGGAGAGGGGGGAAAAAAGGGTTCCAGGTAGGTTTTTTGCACGTGGGGACCAAAAATAAGTAGTTGAATTACAGCAAAATTCAACCTGACTAAGTGCACCCAGTTCCTACTGTGACAAAATAAACTGAGTGTGCGTTTCAGAGGCTGAAAATTCACCTGTAGCTTTTAGAACTTATGTATTTAAGCACATGTATGGAAAATTGTGGTATTTCTTTATAGATCCATCGCAATGAAAGAAATGCACCATGTTGTTACAGGTTTGTTTTGCCATGTGTATAAATGTCTTCATCAGTAGTCAGCAAATTGGTTCTGCACTATTAATGACACAAGCACTGATGTGTTCATCACGAAGCCAGTCTGCCTTCTAAATTTCTATCTAAACACACTGTTGTTTTTTGGACAGGGAGCAGGGGGTGGGGGGGGACATGGTGTGAAGACTATAATATATAGAGCACAGAGACTTCTTATTTTGCCCTTAGCAATGTCATGCTCATGTGCCAGTTGCCATTTGCGTTTATGTTTAAGTTATATGGTTTAAGACTTGATGGTCATGTTCCTGGATCTGTGGCTTATGTAACACAGTAAATATTTTTATTTAGTCATTTTCTGGACAGTTAAGACTGGGAATGGGAGGAAAATTGCTGCTTTTATGAAACCCTCAGTATTTCAGACATTGCTGTATTTTGTAATTCTAAGCAATACTGTTGAACTCCAAAAAATAATAAAATGCCTGTATTTTGTATAATTTTGAGTGAATGTAAATATTAATGTAGCATGTCAGCAATTCCCATGATTAACTGAAATGTTTAAGCCTTAAATGTAAAACTCACTGTATGGTGGCGTTCAAAGGGAGATTGAAATGACCACCTTTATAAAGTTTCCATGATTGTTTTTATCCAAACAGTTTATTGAAACATTAAAGATGGTGTTTATGTACTCAGACATACCTGCTGGAGAAAATAAATGTCATAATCTAAAACGCACGGGTCTTAGGCTCAGCTGTCTTGTTTGTAGACCCTGATGGTGGTTTGTCTCGCCCGCTGCCGCAGCTCTACCTCACAGACACTTCCTCCCTCCCACCGCTGGGGGGCGCTCCAGCGCCGGCTGCCCCGTTCCTACCTTACCCTGCTGGGCGCGTGGCGAGGGCTGCCGGGAAGGAGGCGGTAATATGGCGTCTAGTGGCACGAGTGACTTGGAGGGCTTGTACGGCGGGGGAGCGGGCGGGCTGGCCCTGCTCGACGCGGCGCCCAGCGCCCTCACAGACACTTCCTCCCTCCCACCGCTGGGGGGCGCTCCAGCGCCGGCTGCCCCGTTCCTACCTTACCCTGCTGGGCGCGTGGCGAGGGCTGCCGGGAAGGAGGCGGTAATATGGCGTCTAGTGGCACGAGTGACTTGGAGGGCTTGTACGGCGGGGGAGCGGGCGGGCTGGCCCTGCTCGACGCGGCGCCCAGCGCTCCCAGCTGCCCGCACGGTGAGTCAGAGGGGTTGGGGGTGCGGGCCTCCGCTGAGAGGAGGAGCGGCGTCCACCGGGGGCTCCGGAAGGCCTGGCTGAGGTGGTTGCAGTTCCCGGGGGATGGGGCGTTTGACACCTCCCCAAGCGTCTCTGTTGCTCGTCTGCAGCTGCTTTCTCGGCTTTCGTGCGAGGGGTTGTGTTTTACAGCAGCCTTTGTTAATGCTTTATTCTGGAAGCCTGACGTTGCAGTAGAGGCATTAAAACAGGTCTGTTGGTGTCCCGTGTGTCATCGTATAATCGTGTTTGTCCTTTAGGTCCTGCTCTTCTGTTTGTAAAGAACAGCCAAGGAAAAGAAGAGGGAAGAAGATTTTATGCTTGTTCAGCTTGTAGGGATAGAAAAGATTGTAACTTTTTCCAATGGGAAGATGAGAAGGTAAGAGAGCACTGCTTAAGGCGATGGTAAATATTGGGGATTTTTTCCCTCTGTTTAACAGAAAATTGAAAAAAGAAAGTATATTTTGTTCTGGAAATCTGTGGCAATTACAGTTTTGTAAACTTTGTCTAATAGTTTGTATTTAGTGGAGCATTTATTTATCTCAGGAGAACACGTTTCAAGTATAATTGTTAAGGAAGGCTGTGTACATTTTGAGCAAAGCTGCTATTTGTTACCGTATTGCCAAAACATTTAGGTATTCAAGTTACGAAGTTGGCCAATACTATGCAATGTTGGACAAAGTAGGATAGTTCTCATCCCAAGATGTCCTCATCTTCCGTGATCAAGACAGAGCACATCTGGTGGATATAGGCAAACAATGGGATATACAAAATAGTGAGATGGTGGGGATCAGCACGATGCTCAGTAGTCTTAAAATATCTGCAGCAATTTCTCTTTGCCTAAAGAAGTTGGGTAAGATAGTTATAGGGTAACAAAATTGGGATAGATAAGTATTCACAGAGAATTTAGCATGGTTTTTGTCTGCTACATTGTGTTGCTTTCTCTGTTTCCTAAATGAGTATCTTGTGTTGTGGTCATTGTTCTCAGAAGGTTGGCAGGCTAGAATTTAATTGGATTTGTAAGCATTTCATTGCTGTGTTGGTAACTACTGAAAAGTTGTATAAAGAGAAAATGAGGGTTAATCCCTCGCCTATGTAGATTTAAATGGTATTCCTAGTGAAATTTCATTTTGAATGTCACTTGTATCATGGTGTCTTTTGTTCTATTGAATTTTACTGTCTCCCCTTTTAAACAAATCAGTTCCATAAGCCTGAACTGGATGTCTTGAACTGTGAAACCATTAAGTATGTTTTGTGGGATCAGAGTAGAAGACACAGAGAAGAGCTGTCATGCTTTAAAAAAAAAAACACACACAAAGACTTGGGCAACTTTCCTACTGTCATCAGTTGTGCAGGGCCAGGTCATAGTTCTTCACAGGGAATGCAACTGCTGGCATGCATTAATGGAAAGTATATGCCTTTCTATCTTCATCATAATCATATTTTGAGTTTTTTCCTGAGTATTACATGCAGTAGAAGAATGAAATGCTTCTATTTATTTTTTGCACAGTTTAAGTGAAAGACTCCTGTTGTTATGGAGCATGCCTCTGTGCTGCAGTCAGGCATGTTCTTCTGAAACAACAATCCAAAGAATGTGATCATTTTTCTTTGCATAAACTGAAGCATGAGACCTTTGATGCACCCTTTTTTGTTTAATATTGAGATTTAATCTACAATACAGAGTGTTACCTGTTCGTTTTGTAACTTGTTATATACATAAATTTTACAGGTGTCAAAAGCTAGGCTTGCAGCACGTGAAGAATATAATAGAAATCGTCAGCCTTCTTTTACACACAGACAGAACATGGAAAGGTATTGTTATGTATATTTTCTTCAGTAAAAATCAAGCAATACAAGTTTAAATACTCTGAATGTAGAGATAATATTTCAGGATTCTTTAAAATATGAAAACATGCCAGAAGGATTTGGAAAAATAAGAACTGGTTGACTGCAATGGAAAAATAGCATGAAACATCTAATTAGAGCATGGTATTTTCAACCCAGGAACTGTATATTTTTGTTGGTGGTGGTTTTTTGTATGTATAGTTCTTCTTACGTTAGGGCTCATAACGTGCTAACAACAGGTCATTAGCAGTTTGGATTAAAAAAATTACTCCTGACTTTAGTGTGCAAAAGTAACAGGCTTAACATTATGAAAAAAAGCGAAGGTCATACAGCAACAAATAATCTCTGAGTTTTGTTTATAAACATATGGACTACTTGCTGGTAGTTGATACAGAGTCTTCACTCTGTAATCCAGTTATTTTATGGGTACTCTCAGTATATTTGGCCAGCATATTATATGCTTGCTTTCAGGGGAGGCTTTTTCAAAGTGTCCTTTGTATATTTTTACCATAAACATTGCTTCATTCACATACGGATAGTGGAGTTTTGCAAGAGCAGCTTAAACTATGTTGCCTGTTTGAATGCCTGATATAGAGGCTTTTTCAAAGCTTGTTCCTTATTGTCTTTTGTTTTTAAAGGTACAAGAATTTTGTTCTGTTACCGTTATCAAAGAGGAGGTTTTGCCAAGAATGCCAGCAACTGCTGTTGCCGGCTGAATGGGAAAAACACTTGGATCACCAGTTCCTGTGTGGTATCTCCACTGCCCAGTTAAAAAGTCCCAGTCAACTTCTGTATCCACTGGAGAATAAAAAAACAAATGCACAGTATTTATTTGCAGACAGAAGTTGCCAGTTCCTGCTGGATCTTATTACTGATTTAGGATTCAGACGAGTGCTCTCTGTTGGAACACCCAGGTAAGGCAGCGAGAATTGTTACACTTTCAGATAATATTTCTGTCTTGGAACTGCACAGCTTACTAATATTTCAGTAGTGAAGGTTTCTCCCATAATAAGAGGTTCACTATAGTTTAATTGGCTGGTACTGTCAAGCATCTAGTGGAGTCTTGCTTCGAGCCTGTAAGATACAGGAGAAGACTGCAAATAAGACACACATACTTTAAAGGTCCTGCTTTGTTTCTTACAGAAGTGACAATGAGTTTATTTATATTTGGGGGTTTTTTTGTTAGTGGAGCCTATGGGATCACCACAAACTTTTCATCTTTTAAAATTAACATTTTTTTCTAACTTTGAATATTAGCCAAATGGAATCATCCAAATTCAGATTACTTCATTTTCTCTATCTGTTTGGTTTTAGGTTTAGTAAAGTACCAGGCATTCTTGTCTTGCAAGATAATTTCTGAAGCCAATGGTTATGTGTTAAATTTCTTTGCTCCAATTATACTTCAGGCTTCATGAAATGATCCAGTCAAAAGCATCACAAGAAGAAGATTTCAGGGTTAGAAGCCTCCTGCTAGATATTGATTTTAGGTACGTTTTGATAAATGTTTTTCTCTCTGAAGAGTACAAAGATTTCTGTTCTTTGCTTACAAAGATTTGTGTTCATACTGCTTTACAAGATAAATTGGTGGTTGTTTTCCCTTTTCTGTCTTTGCCCCTCTGTTCCTGCACACA